ATAGTTTTGTAATGATGGTGATCTGTTGTTCATGTGGATGGACGATGGATGGGGACGTGTCTGTATCTAGTTTTATTAGTTAATGTATTCAATGATAATGATTCCGCTGCTATATCGTGTTGTAGTGTAAGGTGTGCGATCTCATAGTCCAGTCATGTGTGTTCGACACGAGACATGTTGCGGACCTGTCGCGCAGCACAGACGTTAGCTCCCACACGTGCCAGTCATCCTTGATCGATAACTATACCACATACCCTCAACATAGAGGCTGACGAATACAGTATATCAGTGTAGCTCCTGTAGGGTCAGCATCAACCATTCGTCCAACAAAAATGAAAAAAAAGGTAAAAATAAAAACACCACAAAAGAGCTGTATACAAGCAGCTGTTAGCGACCAAAGCACAAAACCCTGAAATCGATCAATTAGCACAAAACAAGCAATCCACAAATTGAGCAATGTAAACAGGCGCTTCTATTTTCTCTGAGCAAGAGTATGCATGGCCATCTGCACAACAGAAAAGAAGAGATACTAGACGAAAAAAGGGGCCGCCAAACTATTAAGTCTTATAGATCGGGGTTTTCTCGGTCTGCCGTGCAGGCCGGGAATCGTTCGGACGGTGAAGTTCGGCCTTTGCTGCAGAATTTTTGCTGCCGACGGGTGTAACTCGGGCTTGGCGTCACCTTAGCATGCATAAGCTTGTTTCTTGAATCTTTTCTTTTGTAGTTGTGTTGGTTTTTTTCTTTTTTTTTGAGGGCTTGGAATCTTGGTTCAATGTACTACTAGTAGTGGGTTGTCTGATTTTATATTTCTCGTAAAGAGGTTCATTGATTGTTCTATGTAGCTTGGAAAACGATGTTATGCTTCCGTGGTACTCCGTAGATCTAGCTGTATATCCAGCGAGATAAACTACCTCTGACGTAAAAGACATCCAAAAGCATCGCTCGGGAACTCCCTCGTCGGAATCGGGGAATCACGCCATAACCCTGGTCTCGAAAATAGCGCATACCATTCGTGCTACTGACAGAAACCGGCATGGCCTTATCGGTGCTAAAGATGCAAGGGTGGAATGGGTGAGATTATGGTATGGTTGTTATTTCTTTGGGTGGTTTTTTGTGACGCGAGAGTTTGGTTACTAATTTACGTTCGATTCACTGGGGTTGGTTTAAATGGGTATGTGAGTGTTAGATGGAGAACTAGGTTGGTTGATGTTGGGGTAATTGGAGTGATGACTATTGTAAAAACCTCGTTGCTTGCAAAAGATAGATGTCTGGCACCTGTCCGTGCAACGAACGGGGGTTAGCAGTAGTTGATTCTCCGTAGATACTGGTAGATAGGGAGGTGTTAGGGTCCACTCTGCTAGGTATGACAAATAGTTGAACTGGAGCCCTGGAGCCTGCATAGTATTGCCCAGTTGAGTAACACTAGCTGTGGTTGATAGGTTGGGGTAGTGTTAGGGCGCCGCCGGTTTTTGTCAGCTGGCTTGCTGGTTCTTCGCCCAGAGACTTGTAGCATTTGCTACGGCGTATCAGAACCTGACAAGTGATGTGGTAGAGACATGTAAGGTTGGAGTGGTCTGTCTCATCTCATGGTATGTACAGGGATATTTTCATTACTATACACGATTATATAACGGCCCATTGGGTATAGACAATGCTCACGGGATACGTATCAGCTGGATCTCATCCCATAGGCCGCGCAATGCAGCTTGGTGAATGCGGTCCACATAGAAAAAGTTCAGCAGAAGGGATCGCAGTTCCTGCCAGGACTGGATTCCTTGTCTTCTTACTGCAGCCGCTAACTCAGTCACGAAGAATGTTCTCTCCGGTAATAGCTGCGAACTCCATGTCCCGATGAAAAGCACCCAGATCAACACCTCCGGGAGCATTTGGAAGAACCCGGCTGGGATCGTGGTAGCTAGTGCCAGGCGAAGGGCGCTGATTGGTTTTGGGAACACAGGGCCGAGCTGGGGGTAGAATTCCCAGATCGTGCCATTGTGGAATAAAAGACATGCTAGCCGGATGCAGCCTTCAATATTCGCATCCCCTTTGGGCTCGCCGGACTCGAGATACCGATCCATATGAAGGGCGTATTCGACATATATGACCTCGGTGTTGAAATAACCTTCGGTCTCGTCGTCAATTTCTTGGTAGTTCTGGCCGCTCTTCATCCATTCAGCAAACCAAACAAGCTCGACCAGGTCGTAGATGATCTTAGACATGCCATCACCTAATATGCTAGGTATTTCAATTAGTGAATTTAATGCAGAGGCGGTCTTGGCAAGATCTTCATTGTGAGGAGATACGGTGAAATCAGGGCGGGCGTAACGGAGGAAAGGGAAGATGGGCTTTGTGAAGGCCATGCACGCCACTCGGATGTCGGTCCTGCTAAAATTAGCGATGGGCGAAACGTTCATTCATTGTCCAACTAACCAAGAGATCTGGAACCGGATATCAGGCGGTACGTCTGCAAGGCTATTTCGCAGGGCAACCATCTGCCTTAATCCGGCCAGGTGGATTTTGAGATAATCGGGGTTCCCAGAAGCAATCTATCTTGTCAGTAGCGAGCAGGCATAGCTTGGCAGGATCTCATACCTCGATCGTCAACAGCGTTGAAACAGCGGCGATTAACGAATCGCTCGAGGCTTTGACAGGGTCTGATAACCCCTCGTTGACCAGTCGAATTGTCTCACCCCTGTGATGAAAGGTGTCGAGAAGAAGGGCACTGGGCCGTTGACCCTCCTTCACCGGGAATTCACCGACTGTCAGGGCTCTGTTGGAGGCGGCAACGCATATGCATGCGTGGAGTGAGGCAGGATCGCAATGGACCAGTGCCGTCCAATGCGCCTGTAGTTTATCTCCATACCGGCGTTGGAGCGGGTAGGCAATATGAGTTAGGGTACCCAAGACTATCAAATGTGAGCTTCGTATCCTCTACATGGGCCCAGAGAATTGACTCACAGTATTGAAGATGCCGAGCCATACGATCAGTAAGCCGCGTATGAAACACGTTGAAGGGGTCATTGCCTCCTGGACCCAAATAGGCCAGTGGCGAATGATCCTGAACCACGGCGAGAGACTGACTATGCGAAGAGGCATCAACGTCATGGTAGTTTTCGGTCAAGGCAGCCACAAAGCCTGGCGCGTCGCCGGCAAGTGCATTTTCTAGACTTGCTCCTTGTTGCTCCGACTGCGATACCTTGAGCGGTACTTCTTGAGAGTCGCCCGGCGCAGAGGCTAAAGGAGTAGAGGCCGCTGAACTAGAAGCGGCGGTTTCCGGCGGCTGAAAAGCCAGGTGCTTCCATGTCTTGCTTTTGTACCGTTTAGTGTTTTCCAGTCTCTTCTTGCGATTATGCTCCGACATGACATGGGAACGGATACGCTTGAGGGTTTCCTCTCTCGTTCCCTGTGCTGCCGACTGGGGGTCGCTATGGACCCAAAACAGGGTTGACCGGCCACCCGACGCATTACTAGGCTTGCGCGGTTTGCGCGACTTCGTTACAGCATTTTTGCCTACATCTTGATTATTGCGCTCGGAAGACTGAGTTACGTTATGACGGGTGGATTCATCGACGAAGGAGAGCGCATGAGAACTGTCCTGGACTGCTGGCGACCCCAACGACGTGTCAGACGCCGGGGCCAAGGCCAGGCTGTGTCTAGAGTCTGAATTCTGTATCGAAGACGCCCAGGTTGCCGACGAGACCGGAGTGGAGTTTAGGAGCGGCAATACCTGCTGGCGATCGGAGGGAGCCGTTGAATGGTGAGTAGAGTTCTTGGCGTCCATGGTGCGCGCAAATCTAATTATGGCACTCGGAGATCTCACTTAAGGATCGTCATGGGGACACGCCGTTTCAAAGTGAGTGAGAATGGACCATGAGTTTTGGGGGGGGACCGTGGACGTGGATGAAATGGATTGGGGGAGGTCAAGCACGATGGGCCAGGGGGGAAAATTGCTTGAGACTGAATGGTCAGCGCACTGCCCCTATCAGGAAAAGTCCATCCCTCTCCCAGCTTGATCGAAATCGTTTTATAAGTGAAACACGAAAGGTGAGCTTGGACCCCTCCTTTTTATTTTTAATTTTTCTCCCTTCCTCTCTCTCCCGTACGGCCCGAGAGGGCGAGAGGGAAATCGGTTACCAATTAAGGGAAAGATTGGATCCAACACGAGCGGCGGAGTTCCCTTCCGAGAGTGGAGAGAGAGAGACAGACAGAGAGAAGTCGAAACAACGGTCAGATCTTCCCCTTGAGTCGGTCATGGAACCCTCCTGGTCGATGAGTGAGTATGGGAACCAACAAAGAAACCCTGAACAAGAAAGAAAATGGGAATTGATTCCCGAGAGGAAGAAAGAAGTCGTCGGTATACCCTGTAGGGCGTGAGGGATCGTCTTCATCAATTCCTTTGCCCAAGTGGACCCTAAACTCAATTCCTGTGATTTTATAGTTTTATATAAAGTCCGTCAGGATTTGGAATTGTCCAAGTTGCAGTTGGGTTTAGAATTAAATAACTATGCACGGAGTATAGATAGATAGATATATTTGGCCCTGGATGATGTGCAACCATCTCCCGTGATATCCCAAAGGAGAAGTGACCTGTCCAGCCTAGGCTGGACGACCTACATTTAGCATTCATGTGTTTGTGCCACTATCGATCTGAGGATCAATAGTAAGCTCTTTTCTTGACTTATAAGTTATGAATACGAAAGCCCTATGCGCCACTTCCTGCAAGGACAAAAGAGCACACGGCTACCACGACTCTCAACACTCCTCGACAACTCACGGCACGGTCGCAAAATCTACAAAGTCTTATTACATGCCCTAGTCACTAATGTTGGCTATCGCTACAGGATTTGGCAGACAGGCCCGCGCTGCGAGCTCGCCATCGTATGCTGAACACAAACACAATAACTGAACGACCCTCGTAGGGAGAATATGCACAAGAAGGAACTGGGGGTTAATAATATCCCGATATAAGCGCCACAGCTGTCGCGACCGCAACGGGAATATTACATTCCGGGCCGCGGAAACACCGGCACAGTCTCCAGCTGCTCATAACCGCCCATGGTCCCTTGCTGGCCACCGACATGCCACCCCTGGCCAGTCTGTTGGTTGACAAAAGCACTCTGGCGGAAAGGGTTCGTGCTTCCAGTGGGATTCGGCCGTAGAGGCGCTGGCGCAGGAGGCTGCAGGCCTTGGGTCTGCTGCGGAGGAACCGAAGAGCTTCGAGCAAAAGGATTAGTCCCCGTTCGTTGGGGTTGTAGTGGTTGCGTTGACTGTGGAGGCGGTTGCTGCGGTGGCGCGCTGGCGTTTAACTGCGGCGGGTTGGCGGTCGACAACGTCGCGCAAAAGGGTTTGTGCTCTGACGGTTTAGGGGAGTTGCCGGCACGCCGGTCCCGGTTGGGGTACTCAGTAACATCGACTGTCTAAAGGGGTTCGTTGTTTGCGGTTGTAACTGCGCACCGGGCATTGGTTGCTGTTGCTGGGGAAATGGCGCAAGATTGTTCTGGGGAACAGGCGCAAGATTCTGTTGGAACCCATATGTCTGCGGTTGCGCCGAGTAACCACCAAATCCCGCACCAGTTGGCGTTGGCTGAAGCGGCTGTGGCTGCTGAGCTTGCTGTTGGCCAAATGGATTGGTACTCTGCTGTGCAAAGGGATCTCCAACTGGTATAGCCTGGCCAAAGCCGGTCGGCTGCGCCTGTTGTTGGAACCCAGTTTGTTGGGGATAGAACGCTGGCTGTTGCGGTTGGAAGCCCGTCTGTTGGAATTGCATCGCTTGCGCTTGCTGCTGTAGATGTGGTAGCTGCATAGGGTTCTGTTGTGCTGGGGGTTGCGGATCGATAGAATCGAAGAAATCGATTAAGTCTGCCGGATTCTCTTTCTTTTGCGGAGCAGGTTGTGTATGGGGTCGAGGTGGTTCAGGATTACTAACAGACCTATTTCCTGCTCCAGCCGTGTTACCAGGTGCGAGTGTAGGACCCGGATTGCCGCTCTTTCCTCCCTTTCGAAATAGATATTCTCTTCGTCGCTGATCAAAATCCGGGTCATTAAGGTCGTCTTCAAGGAGTCGAGTAAGGTCCGTAGAGGCGTGCTTCAGCTTGGGTATTTCTAGCCGTGTTGCTGCTTGGAAATGTCTAGCGACACCGAGAAATTTCACGACCTCCTCTGTTTGTTGAGTAAAAGTCTTATAGATCTCCAGCGCACGCTCACTATCAGGCCGCGACATTTCGAAGTAATGCTCTGTTGCGAACACCATGAGTTAAGCAGCAATATGTGACGGGTGATAGTACCTACCCAAAACGTTGATCGTGCCCTCATTCATGACTGAGTAAAGCGTCAGGAGATCCAAGGTGAGCAGGCGAAAGGCTGTTAACGTAATTTCGTTCTCAACTTCGTCTGTCAAAAGCTGGAGACGGTCAGATATGGTAACTTGACTGCAGCCGATAAAGAACATACATCACACTGTAACAGCGCATGAATCTGTCTTTGTACAATCTCTGTTTCTCTCAAGAGGCCTTTTTCTACGGTCAACCTCTTCATACGTCCCTGTCCGCTTCGTACATAATCCGTCTTGGTGGCCTCGAATGCATTTGCGCGCGCGATGAGATAATCAGAGTATCTCCGGATGTTATGTCCTTGTGACTGAACTACCCGGAGTCAGCATCTTCTCTTCGATTATCTGGAACTCTACCGGCCCACCTTCTGAGAATCCGCTGATTGCAAGCTTCCTCGGGTTCTCCGCCATATACTGTAGTGTAGCGTCCAATTGCCCCTCCCTTACCATGATATGTATGACAATGAGGGCTTTGAAGACTATCGTCCATGTTGAATCGCGTAGCCGAAGCTGGATAGTTCGAAATATTTCTGCTACTCCCGCTTCGCCTGTATGGGTCGCTACCAGGATGTGCTCTATGTATTTAGATTTAGGGGCCGCGAGCTGCTCGCATGAAGACAGTTATCAGCACCTTGCGCTAACGGTAACAAGCACGGCGACAATATAGGTTCAGACTGACCTTAATCTTGGTGGCCCCCTTTACTGATTTCTCAAAATTCTGGGACATTGTGAGGGTGTGTCGGACTCCGCAATTGGGCCGTAATCGGGATTAGAAGATCGTCGTGGGAGAAGTTCAATTAGGACTGAAGATACTTGGAGTGTAAGAGGGATTAGGGAATATCAGGGTAGATCAACGGCTATCGTAGTTCCAAATTGATCTGTCGACACCGGCACCAACAATAGTCATGGTGACTCAAGCCATGTTGCGCGTCGTGGCTTCTGGAAGTATGCAGGATGGCAAGAAGGTGGGGGTGGGCGAAGTTATAATCAACACAACTTCCGAGAGTGGGATAGATAAAATGACGATGGCAATGAAAGCGTATTATATGTCGGCCCCGAGGAGTTTAGAAGGTTGGTAAATGGCCGGAGGGACTGAGGGAGCTTCAGGCGTTCGGAACGTTTGGAATGTCAGTTGGCGGGAATCGCAGTGGAGTTAAGCTTTACCCTCTCCGCCTTAGGCAGATATCAGTATCACGTTCCCGCTTATTCTATTCAGGAACCAACCTGTACCTGGTATGCCGTCGAGTACAATAGAACTGACCGAATTTACATAAAACAAGAAATCTCTTCGGAGTTGTGTTCTCACTTTCCTCTTATTTCTTTCCTTTCCTTCCCTTTTCCTGTTGTCCCCGTCTCGCACTTAACTCTTCAATTACACTCTAGGAATCTGATATATCGCTTCTCGGAACTATAAATTCTATATAATCTCGCTTCAAAACCCAGTACTCTATCTCTGGATCTATCCCAACACAACCACGCAATTATATCTAGCTCGGATATATTCCACCGTAGCCGTAGGAGTTGGTTTTATCATTACTTTCTACCGCCGTCCGACACGTTCTATCCACATATCCCCATCCGTAGTAACACTAACCCCGACAACATTCGTGCACCAATGCCCAACATGATTGACTCAAGTGTGAATTTGTTTCAAAAGAGGAAGAAAGACATATTACCCCGTTAAGAGTTCAGTCTGATAAGACACCTCCAGTACAGCATTGGCCTCAAAGTAATAACAACAATCTACCTCTCTTATCCTATCTCATTTCTTATTTCAACTCATACTATTCAGGTCTGTCATTTCTCTGTAGCCTGAATACCATTATTTCTCATTCTGCTTATCTAGAGAGACCAAGAGTCTATCTAATCTTTTCATACGTCTCGTCTGTCTACCAACAGCACATTAGGCCCCCTTTATCTCAAACGGCAAAAGAGAAGAGAAAGAGGAACTCATTTCGTCACATTACAATACTCCACACTCTCTGTCTTCCCTAGCGGCAAGTATACGGGCTGGGTGATCCTCTCTGTTTTCAAGACTCAACATGGATATGCAGGCTATCGATCTTACACTGAAGATACCCAGGAACCGATGGAGTACTAGGCAAAGAATCTTTCTTTGTTGCCTATACAAATTTTTCTGCAGAGATATGAGAGCCTTCAGAGAAATCTTTAATCATGCCTTCAAACCAGACCTGATTAAATGTGGACTCATGGAAGGCATTTCTATGGGTACAATGTATACCCAGTGGGCTGATATGAAATGCTCCGGTGATCCTATCTGGGGACATATACATCTGTCTTCCTTTGACGACCGTGACTCCTGGCTCCCTGTGATTAAGAGGATTCAAGACTGTGCGAAGACGCTGGATATCACGCTTGTTGAAAAGGAAGTAGATGATATAGATACGTCAAACTTCCAGCCCAGCGAGCAGAGTCTTCCGGCTGATTTTTTGTCTACACCTGTAAGTTCCTGTCTTGGAGGATATGTCTAGCACTAATGGAATCTTAGAATGCTGACGAGAGCCCTGTTACACCATCAAATGCAAGAGTTGTGGACATTACATCCATAAGGTCCCCTGTGGAAATTAGTAGGCACAATTATCAAGATCTAAGTCTTTGTACGGGTGGCGGCAAGAGATGTTTTTGGTGCTATCAAGAAGATGTTGAGAAGGTATGGAATTCTAGTATTTGATCACCAGGCTTTAGGGCTGATTTACCATAAATTCTAATAGCAGGAAACCGCAAGTTGGATACCTCCTATTCTGTACAGGTGGTCAAATGTTGATTCCCAAGGAATCAATTCCACGAAGATGTTTCTCGCTGGATTATTCATCGATGAGATGAATTATTTTGCGCCAAACGATATCAATACAAAGGAGTTCGAGGAACACGTCGTAAACCACGCTAGAATAGCTGAGGTCCCAACTCCCTTCATCTCAACCTTCAGGTCCATGCTTGCACCGGTCCACAGGGCGATCAACAAAAAAGAAGGGGCAATAGTAACCATGATTGACTCGAAGAAGCTGCAGACCCAAGTTTACTCTGCTAAGAAACTTCTCCGAAAGCTTGGTTTGAGAGTGGGAATATACAATGGCGCGGGTGAATTTTTGATCTGGGGAAAGGTCCATGGATCTGCTATAATATCCTCGTTTAAAGCCAGCTCGCTTCTTCAGATAGCAAGTGAGTATCCCCATATTGAGAGCATTCTGCAGCTGGACACCATTGGAACCTATGAGAAAGCTGGAAGATCATTACACCAAGTCCTGGCCAAGGGCCCGGGACAACTTGACCACCAATCTGGCTTGATTATAGGAGAGCTCTTGGCCCGCCTCCAAGTACCTCAACGATATTGTAATTTAGTTGGGCAAGGAATAGCGTACTCATGGCGTTTGAATACGAAGAAAGGAACTTGGCAAGAGTTTATCGGAGGAATCTACAGTGGTTATTCGTCTCTGAGCGAGGTCCAGAACCCAGAAATACCTCTGTCTGTCATCTTGGACCAAGAGGATCTAGATCTGCTCGAGCCACCTTCAGACGAAGACACTGTAACCGAGGGGGAATCATCTTCAGATACTGATGATCCGGAGAGTGAGGATGATCCAAGAGCCGACACGCCTTGCCCGGTAGGACTGCCTACGAGGACTGCGTTGCCATCTATCGAGCTCTTCGACGGCGGTAGCAGAAGGTGGATAGCGCAAGAAGGCTGCACAAGGGAAGAGACTATCATTGACAACTCCAGCGCCGAAGATGATGTTCTTGACGATGTTTTCACAGCGGTTGCCTTCCCAAACACCTTGTTTAACACGAATACAGCAAATGACACCACTGAGAGCGTCACCTCAGCGAATTCTGAGCCGGAGCCCATCGACTCTCGTCATCAACCAGCACCAGGGGACCAATTTGCGAGCGACAGAGCGAGAGTTAACCAAATTCTGAATTGATATTGCACTCAATGATACCTGTTGATCGTGCTTAACCACGTAGAATAACAGAAAATATGATTATGCACAACGAAAAATCACAAATGGAGAACAGAAAGGAAGAGAAGGGGGGAGAGGGGGAAGAAGGGGGGAAAAGACGGTGCATCTTTACTTGTTTTGGGGGAATGGGTGTTTGAAGAATTGGTCGTTAGGCTGTACACCAACTGGGCTGATGAAGGCACTGAGGAAAGTTGTACTATAATTCCAAGGATAGCTGGCGTG